GAGCATCTCTTGCCCATCTGTCTCCTCACACTCTCCACCACCTCTTTGTATCTCACTCGATTTGCTGTGAGAACCTCCTCACTTACATTTGCTCTGAGAAACAGAAGGCAAGATCCCCTCTCTGAGTCTGAGGGGAGGGGGTTTTGAGGGAAGTGAGGATGCTAGTGGAGAGTGGAGAGGGGTCTTGGGGAGCCCCTGCTAACTGGCTCCTCCCACGGGGTTTGCTGCCCAGTCACAGACACAGACAAAGTGGACCACTGAATTTGTCTAACACTGTGCTTGCCAGGGGGCAAGAGAATTATTGAAATGATTGGACCATGAAGCCCTAGCATGAGGACAGGAAGGTTCATGAGTAAGTAGGAAGTAGCCAATGGACCAGAGGCCTAGTTAGACTAAAGGTGCTACAAAATTGTTTGAAATCTCTCATGCCCTTTGCACTAATTCCTCCCTGCTTTGCACTATTTCTGTACCTAGGAAAGACTTCTACCCTCATACAGAGCATATGCTGTACTATAATTATCTTTTAAAAGTCTGTTCCTTCTGCTATACCAAGAGCCCCAGCATAAGACCTATGTCTTCCTCTCCTTTGTCCCTCCAGCGCTAGCCTGAATAAGACTTAACAAGCCTAGGAACCTTGCTCAGCATCTCCTGGTTGGTAAGAAGTGGAGCAAGTTTCATGTGTGTGACCCTAGTCTGTGACCTCAGTGCACCCCAACCCAGCCTCTGCCATGCCATCTGTTAGTTCCCAATATTTTGTATATAATTTTTTAGGTGCAAGCACAGTATTTGCACAGATAGACTAAAGCTAAAGCTATGGCATTAAAATAATGTTAATGAAAATTTACATAGTTCTAATTTTAATGAATACTAGAAAAGCTAAAGCCCCTTTAGTAGGTTTGAATAAATTAAAGTTATTTAAAATGGGGCAATGCAAGCTTAATCTAAATTTAATCAAAATAAAACTAAACATATCTTCTAGAGAGTTAAAGAAGCTTCAACAACTATTCTCTCATTAATGAAATATCTGCAAAAATCTTTGACTGTCAGCTCCTAGAGGGCCGGAAGTATGTTTGCTGAATTAATCTTATTTATCTATGAGCCAGCATTAGACTTAATAAGAATGCAGCATTCACCAAAGGATCAAGAAAGCACCAAACACTGCATTTGGGCAAATGCAGTAGCATTTGTCTTATTTTTATAGTTTTAAAAATAAACTGATTTTGTCATTAGCTTCCCATTATCCTGATGCTTTTTGACAAAAATGAAAAGGTAAGTTGTTCTGCAAGATGAATTCAGGATTAACTTTCACTCACACACACACACAAAAGGATCTTTTTAGTACTTCACAGACAATACCTTACAATGGAGAGCAGACCTTTCAAAGCACAACTGGAGGATGTTTAATTCTTATTTTATTTCGGTATTGTGAATTTCAAGTGGAAATGATGTGCAGCATTTATGAATTGGGTCACAATGGCAAATACTACAGGAGCCTGTAAAATACGACTGTCTCTAATATCCTAAATCAAATGCTAATGGGCATACCCATACAGCCTGATTTTCTGAATTCATCTCTCCTTGTCTCACTTTAAAAACCATGAAAAGATGTTCAAGGTGTCCTGACCCCAAAACGAACAGAGAAAGGGAAGGGGGTTTGAGGAGAAATAGGGCACACTGAAAATTATAAGTCTCCAAAGAACATTCATGTGTTCTCTGGCACAAAAATAAGGCCTAAATCCACATTCTATAATCTGTACTACCTCTACCTCAGGCAAAGCTTGCAAAATACCAGAAGAATGTCAATGACCCAATCCCCCATCAATTAAATTGGAAATAATTGATTATTTAGTAAAGGATAAGGAATAGCCTCAAACAGTTTCATCTGCTCCAATAAATCAGGGTAACTCTTCGAAATCTGTGATAGTCAGGGTGAAATATATCCGTCTTTTTTAAAAGGGGCCCATTAGCAAATCTTGTTGCCTGCCCTCCCTATCCATGGTTAGATTCACAATTGATTTATTATAAGCTGGGCTTGAAAAAAGAGGCAGACGACTTAAGGTATTAGAAATGTCACTGGTGATTTCCTCCTCTTTCCAATTAAAACTACTGCACTATACACAGGGAAGTGTGTTTTTCATCTCAAGTACACAGTAGGGAGAAACAAACCTGAGAAAATTGTGATTGTTTTCATTAAGTATGGTTAACACAGGCAGCGTACATTAGTGGGGAAAAAAAAGAACAAAGAAAATGTATTTCTTTTTACAGTAGGAAAAAAACAGAGTGATATAGCAATAAGGTCTGTAATAAGTTGATGCATTTAATAAAACGGAATTATATGGACCCATATTGAAGTAGAAGTCAGCTTGATACCAGGTGATAGCTATAGCCAGTCTAAGTTAAGCTTCAGTGCCTTTTTAAGGCTTCACTAAAGAAAGTACTAAGTAGTTATATCCTTAAGACTATGTAAGGGAAACTCCAGCATTTTTTAAAAAGCTAGTTTTGTAGTAAAAAAAGAGAAATATTTATAAAACTATTTGTGAGAAATTCATGCAAAATTCAGAAGATGTTGTTAATGTAGGAATGCAGTACATTAACAACATATGAAAACTAAATGAGTCAATGGAAGAAATATAAATTGGAAGAAAATATAAATTACATTAAGTTCATGAATTCATCATTGTTTTGTTATCCAAGTCAGGTAGAGATCTGTTCTTTCTATATCAAAGACTTATTTATAGCCAACTTTGAAGTTTCTTCAGCAAAGGGTTACAGCCCTGGTAGTTATTTTTTTAACTATTGAAATTTATACTTAAAGAGAAAGGAACAAATCACCACATGAGGCTTTTATTGAAATACCAGAGGCCCAGTGCACGAAATTCGTGCACTGGGGGGGTGGGGGGTCCCTCAGCCCAGCCTGCCCCCTCTCACAGTCTGGGAGCCCTCAGGGGATGTCCTACTGATGGCTTAGGGGGAGGCTTGGAGCAGGCACCGTGTGTGTATGTGTGTGTGTGTGTGTGTGTGTGTGTGTGTGTGTGTGTGT